CATTTTGAATTACTGTAGTTCATTCTCTTTTCACCAAATATTTTTTTTATCTTTTTTCAATAATCGTACATGAATCCAGATGATACCAAAGTTGATAGAAACAAAGATGTTGAAGATTCATCTTTAAAATCTAATGATCCTAATAATATCATTTATTCTGATAATCGAACGTTAAATGATGATGAAAAAAATTTAGAAACAAGAGATTTAGCGTATAATGATTCAATTAATCCTATGGTCGCTTCGGTAATTTATCGTCCTCCGTTCTTGGCTTTAATATTTTCTTCCTATTAATTTGGAAATTGAACTTTGTAAAACATTAGAGTGTTTCTACATATGATGATCCGAGCTTGCCATGTATGACTTTTCGATATTGGGTATTAAGTACTGTAAGTCTGATCGTTATTGCTTTGTTAATTGTATTGGATAATCTGGAATAGTGTGCAAAATTAAATGTTTTAATGTTCAGAACATTTATGTGAGAAAATAAATTTTAAAATCCTTCTATATAAGTGTTTTTGTGTGAATATTGTTCATTCAAATTTCGCACACTGGTCCAAACGTAGACATGTTTAAATCACTTAGACAAAAAAACTATATAATAGCTTAATGTTGTAATGTATCGAAATATATTTCCTTTTAATTTTTCAATTACGTATTGCAGTTATTTACGGCATTAGGTGCTGCTATATCAGTATTCTACTATTTTCGTCCTTCCAGAATCCTTTTTTCTATACTATTCGTGATTCTCGCATCTTATATTTTGGGAAAATGGATGGAAAAAATCTTGCCGAATAGAATTTTTCGTATTATAAATTGGGAATTTAATTTAAATCCAGGTTTGTCAAATTTACAAATATTTATGTTTATATTTTGTGCAATGTTTATACGTATCATTATAATATATAATGTTAATATTGAATAAATATATTTATAATGTTTGTTATCGATTTGCAGGTCCTTTTAACTATAAAGAACATGTGTGCATAGGCGCTGCGGCTTCTGCGGGTGGTGTTCTTGCGTATGCTGTGGTATTATTCAAGTCAATTTTCTTAATTTCATTTATTATTATTATTATCATAATTTTGTTATTGCTTATAATTTTCATGCTCCTCTAACTTTCCTTCCACTTTTTCTAATACATTTCTTTAGGACATTATCGCAGTCCAAGAGTTATTCTATAACATTAAAGTCGATTTCTTAATTGGTTTTTTATTATTGATTAGCTCGCAAATGCTTGGATATGGACTCGCCGGATTTGTTCGAAAATGTATGTGTTTGCTGAAATTATTGTTATATTAAACTATCATATTTAATTATCTTTTAACATCAATTTATAATGTGCTTTAATATTAATTTATAATAAATTTATTCTTCTTTAACATTATTTATAATATTTATTTTTATCCCTTATTTTAGACTTGGTTTATCCTGCTAATATGATATGGCCTCAATCTCTTGTTTATGCTACCATGTACAACACGTTACACGGCAATATCTTTGAAACAAATAAAAAAATTCGCTTTTTTTATATTGCTTTTGCTTCAATGCTTGTTTGGCAATTTATACCCGAATACCTGTTTCTTTGGTTAACTAGCATTTCTATATTATGCCTTGTTGCTCCAGGGAATAATGTTGCAAAATTATTAGGAAGTGGTTATAGGGGTGCTGGAGTTCTTGATTTCACTCTTAATTGGAACAGCATTGGTATTATTTTTCCCCTGATCACCCCATGGTAATGTTTATATTTATCATTTCTAAATCTTAATATGTTTATTTCTAATTTTATATTTTTTTTTTATAATTTAGGTGGTCTCAGGTAAATTTTTACGTCGGTGTCATTTTAGCTATATGGATTATTGGTCCAATATTGTACTACAGTAATTTCTTGTATGTTTTTTTTAGCTTTTAGTGTTTTCATTATAATTTATTTATTCTTCTTAATATTCATTTATAATTCATTTTTTTAACATTTATTTATTATTCATATTTTTAACATTTATTTATTATTCTTTTTTTTTAGAGATGCACAAAAATTTCCTTTCCTATCCACCCATTCTTTTGATAAATTTGGAAAAACGTATGTATCTTTAACATACAATATTTATTTAATTAACTATTTATTTTATTCTTCTATTTTGCAGTTATAACCAGACAAGTATCATTGATCACTCAACCGGCAGTGCTCTCAATGTTACTGCTTATAATAATTACAGTCCTGTATATATATCTACTGCATTTGCCGTTGTTTATGGCTACAATTTTGCACAATTTACTGCAGTTATTGTTCATGTTTTACTATTTCATGGAAAAGAAATTTGGTCTCATTACAAACAAACCCGTGAAGAAGAATTGGATGATATCCATTGCAAGTTGATGAGTGTTTATCCAGGTTTATTCAAATATTTATTAATTTTATTTCTAATGTTTATTTTGTAAAATTTCTTGCTAAATATATGTTTCTTTATACATTTTTTTTTTTTTGACAACAGAGGTACCAAATTATTGGTATGGTATTATTTTCTTCGTCATGTTAATAATCGCAATTATCCTTGGCTATGTAAGCGGTGCGCATTTACCTTGGTGGGGTTTACTGTTAGCAGTTTCATCAGCTTCATCAAGTTTTTGGAATGTCACCCTTATCCCGTGACAATAGTATCGTACTATCAGGTTATCAATTTTGTATGCCGATACATAAACTATCCGATGAAATCCCGATAATGATGCCTGACGAAACTATTTTGGCCATGACGAAATAGTTTCGCCAATGGTTTCGTCTGACGAAACTTGACGAGTGACGAAACTACAGACGTTTGACGAAATTACTGACGATTGACGAAACTCCTGACGAAATTAATTTGACTAATAAAATATCAAAATACAGTTGACCCTCAGTCGATAAGCTTCATTATAACGACCTCTAGATATTCTAAATCACATATAAATTACTGTTATTTCATCATTGTAAAGATTCAAGTTCATATGAAAAACAATAATTTTTTAATTGACAACGAACTTTTCTACTGTTCTAATAAATAGTTCGTTAACTACAAAATTATAAGCTCATACAAAATACATTTCCATTATCGTATTTTGAATTTATTACGCCCAAATTTTTATATTACATATCGTCGTTAGTTTCGTCATTCGTCATTTCGTTAACTCGAAGTTGCCTGATGAAATGGTTTCGTCATTCGTCAGGCATCATTAGATAAGGCCATATAAAATTATTGCCCGGAGCGGATTGGAGGACTTACTGTCCAGACCTCTGTCACGGGTGCCCCTGTATACCGATACGGTATAATATCTAATTTTTACTGGGATATTAAGTATGGTATTAAGTATCATTAAGCAGGTTTATTTGTTTATTGACGATTTTTGAATTATAAGCCACTGTACGTTGAGCAGTCCTAGCATCGCCCATAGAAAATGTACGTCACATTAATTTTATCGATTAACGTTACGTATAATAATAATTTACTACGTATCAGGGACCTGTGGAATTTGTGATATGATTTAGCAAATTATGTTTTCGTTATCAGCAAACTATTTGATTTACTGCTGATCAATAATTATTTATTACATTGATAAAAAAAACTTGCACTAAAAATTTAAATTGATTTTTTACATGCAAATAGTTAATAATTTGACTTGTTTGTTTGTATCGTTAAGCTATAAAACTTTATTTGAACCGTTAAAGTATAAAATATTCAGCATTTTTAACGATT